CACAACGCCGCCATGTCGAACACAACACAGACACAGGATAAGCCCGAAGCCTCCGAACAGTCCACACAGCAGAAGCCCACCGTACTAGAGGAAGACGACGAATTCGAAGATTTCCCAGTCGAAGGTGGGCACCTATCCTGCCCCGCTCACGGCGAGGCGGGGTACTCTCGCAATATAACGACGAGCTACTGCTGACGGATGAGCATTAGACTGGCCTCAAGAGGAAACCGAACAAGCAAACGGAAATAACGTCCATCTGTGGGAGGAGAGCTGGGACGATGATGATGCGGCGGAGGATTTCTCAAAGCAGTTGAAGTACGTCTGCTCGCGGCGCTGTCAAAGCTCGCTTTCCCTCGTTGCTGGCGGTGGATTCTACCATGCCACGTCACGTCATGCTCCATCTGTTACGTTTATGCTGTCGTTACTGACGCTGCGGTTCGCACTATAGAGAGGAACTCAAGAAGGTCGAAGCATCCCATTAGTATCCATTAGCGCGTTACGGGTTTGCGAGAGTGATACTGGTTGAACCGACATGATCCTGGGGCGGACCTTACTGAGCGTAAGGCTGCATCCGGTACGGACAAGAAATCGATGATGGAAGCTTCGCATACTGGTCAGGCTGGAATATACCTATGCTTGTCCTGCCTCGAAAGCTGCTCAACTAAGCGGTTGGGGGTATATGGGCTTGAGGGTTATTATAGCAATGCAGGCCCGCAGTGAAATGGGCGACCGGTGTATTGATTCTCTACATGATTCCTATTTATTTACAATTAATGAATGAGATGGAACGTCGTCCAACTGTCATGTCGCTTGAGGGCTACACTTGCTGTTACCAATGGTAATCAATCACAACTTGGCGCTCGTATCTATCAGACCACTATATCAGAAACTTTCTTGATTCGAGTACTTTTTTTAATTCCTGATTAACTCGTCGCTTTATACATTATATTCATAGAGTGCTCGTCTCCCGCTTCTTGAAGGCCTTCATGAAGGCGGAAGTTTGCTTCTGATTCAAGACATTATTCTTTCGTTTACTTACTTGACAGGGCAGCAACACCAGGCAGCTCCTTGCCTTCCAGAAGCTCCAGCGAGGCACCACCACCGGTGGAAACATGGCTGAGCTTCTCCTCAGCACCGTACTTGGCCGCAACAGTAGCTGTGTCACCACCACCGATGATGACGATGGCGCCGTTCTTGGCGGCATCAACAGCAGCATCCAGAGTCTGCTTGGTACCGTTGGCGAAGGGGTCCATCTCGAAGACACCAGGAGGACCGTTCCAGAGGATGGTCTTGGCCTCGGCAATGGTCTCCTTGTACAGCTTGACACTCTTGTCGCCAACATCCAGGCCCATGTAGCCGTCAGGGATGCCCTCCTCGTCGGTGGCATAGCCTGTCTTGGCGTCGGCGGAGAACTTATCCGCCGTGATGTAGTCGACAGGCAGGACAATCTTGACGTTGTTCTTCTTGGCCTTGTCGATGATGTCGCCGACGGTCTTGCTGCCAGCCTCGTCGAACAGACTGTTACCGATCTTGACGTTCTCCAGGGTCTTCTTGAAGGTGAAGGCCATGCCACCGGTGATGATCAGGCTGTTGACCTTGGGCAGCAGATTGTCGATCAGCTGGATCTTGTCGGAGACCTTGGAACCACCAAGGATGGCCAGGAACGGGCGCGAGGGGCTCTCGAGAGCCTTGGCAAAGTAGTCGAGCTCCTTCTTCACGAGGAAGCCAGAGGCCTTCTGGGGCAGGTCAACACCGACCATCGAGCTGTGGGCACGGTGGGCAGTTCCGAACGCATCGTCTGGAACAAATTGTTAGCTTCTAGTTCATCCAGACCAAGCACGAATCCAATGCTTACTGATGTAGATGTCACCCAGGGCAGTCAGGCCCTTGCGGAACTCGGCAACCTTCTCCTTGTCGGCCTTGACCTTCTTGCCCTCCTCGTCCTTGTAGCTACCTTCCTCCTCAGGGTGGAAACGCAGGTTCTCAAGCAGAATGACCTGGCCGCCCGAGGCCTTGTTGACGGTCTCCTCCACCTCCTTGCCAACGCAGTCCTCAGTGAAGATGACGCTCTTGCCGAGCAGCTTCTCCAGCTCAGGGACAACAGGCTTCAGGCTGTACTTGGGGTTCTTCTTGCCATCGGGACGGCCAAGGTGGGACATGAGGACGACGGCCTTGGCGCCCTGCTCGATGGCATACTTGATGGTGGACAGAGCACCGACGATACGCTGGGGGTTGGTGACCTCCTTCTTCTCATTGAGAGGGACGTTGAAGTCGACCTGCCAGGCACGGGGGACATGTTAGCCATTGCGCGCTTAAAGCATGGTTCTCTCCCGGAAGTCAATCGTCGATTAGCTCATGGATGTGGTTTCAGCACAACGTACCCGGATTAGGACACGCTTGTCCTTGAGGTCGACGTCTGTGATAGCAAGCTTGTTGGTGAGAGACATTGTGTATGGTGTTTCTATCAGATTGTAGGCCGGGTCAGCTAATGGGGCCTGGAGAACGAGGAGCACGACGAGTATACCTTTGGGTTCACTAAACAGACGAAGTTGAGACTGAAAACTCCTGTCCTAATATGCTCACGGTGAGCCTTCTTCGATCAACTTCGGTCCGACGGCGGGGTAGTTGGCATTGTTTGTTAAGCTCGACTGTGGTGGGGCTTCCGGTGAGAGATTCGCTCACCTTCGGGCTGATGCGGGACTGATGTCAGTGTTCCAGGATCGATGACGGAAGGCTCCGGGCCTGGTAGAACATCGTGCCTGAGAATTCTCGATAGCCTCGGGTGCGAATAGGGCTGGCCTGCATGTTTCCGTAGTTATTCGCTGGTGGGACTATGAAAAAACGTTCAATACTCTTGTCGGAGATGAGGCAGATTATTGGAGAGTTGCTTGAGGTAGGTCCTTAGACTACAGAACACCCGCGCAGTCAGGGAAACTTGGAAGAATTGGCGGTCTTGGATAGTTCATAGGATTTGCTCTTTGGATCATGATCATTTATGAGAACGAGAATTGACACCTTTTTGAGTTTCCGAAAGATTGACCTGTACACCATTGTCCATAGAAGCAAGAAAGTAAAAGCCCCCCACGCATTTACAACGCCTGATAACCACAGAAAAAGAGAAGAGCAATAAGGGATATATGGTCAAAGAAAAGCAGAAACAGACTGATACCGCCGCTGTGTTTCGTCTATTCTTCCTCAGCCGAGTTGGTCAACGACAGATATGCGGTCCAAGCGATACCGACGGTAGATACAAATGGCTGTGACACATAACGGTTAGCATCATGCATATTTAGTCATGCAAAGACTTCACTTACAATCTGGAATTGAATTGGCACAACCCGGAAGTTGAGGATCTGCACAGCAGGCCACAAGACGTAGTTTGCCTTCAGGGTCGGTAAGTAGACATCCTGGAACTTGCGGGTCAACGCTCTTTTGCCTCCACCCTCGGCGACAGTCATGAATGTGAAGAAGCACGCAAGACCTTTATCAAAACCATCAGCAAAGCTCCTATCTCCGAATGTAAGGGATGTCCATACCGAAAGGAGCGAACATGAGCTGATCAACAGCAACACGCTTCAAAGCCGGCAGCGTCGGGCTCTTTTTGGTCAATGGAAATGCTCGGGACAGGAAGCCGAACCACTTGAATTGTATAGGCGCCATGAAGAAACCGTATGACATGAATCGGGTGAGACGCTCGAAATCAAACGGAGGAGGAATGTGCTTCGCATGTCCCAGCTCTCCCACGGGTGGCGGTCGTTCCTTGTCCATCTCGTGGATCTCGATCGAGATGAGATCACCGTCTTGCCTAGTTCGTACTGTCGAACGGGCCTTAAAGGCTGTGATCAACTGGGCCACCGTATCTGCGATACCACCAAGCACCTAAATCAAACGCTTCGTTAGTCGTGAACTCCACAAAGTAAAGCAGGCAAAGCCAGAGGCTTTCGACAGGTTCGTACCGCGTTGGTGACCATTGTGGTTAGAACTATGCAAAAAGTGTCAAGTTAGTGAAATGCAACGCGTCTCCGCACAGGTCTTGGTCGAGTCTTACCAGGCCGGTCCGCATAGTAGGAGTTGAATTTGGCCGCAAGGCGCATTGCAACCGCCATCTCGATGAGAAAGATTATCGTATGTAGCAGAGGCTACAAGAAGAGGAAGCAGGAGTCAGTGCAGATCGCAGCATTGAACGCACAGAATGAAAGGACCCCTTCGGAAGTTGCCCGGAAAGAAGCAGCGTTAGGAATGGGGAGAGTTGTGCGTTATCGTGGCTACATACCAGTCGTCCATAGATATATCTTCTGTTAAGTCCATCCAAAATTCTTCGACGCGCTTGGGAAAACATTGTGGAGCGAACTGAGATAGGAAAAGTCGTAGTATATCCTTGATGGAAAGAGATCGAAGACAAGTTTTCCGGTCGGCGGTCTTGAGCGACAGTATGACGCAAAGTATGGGGACTGGAGGCAAGGTGGCAGGGAAAAACCAGCAGCACAGGCCCTTTAAAATAAGATAACTAGTATTGTCGTCATGTATTCCCAAGGATGAACAAATGATGGACACAGACGAAGTGGATGAACTATGGAGTATATCCACCTGGTCTGAAGGAGAAGACCCCGGACTTTTGAACTGCATACAATGAATGATCCAACGGGGCTTTCATAAGGCATCCGCATGATCCTTATCGCCCGCCCACAAACGATTAATTAGCCTTTCGTCTAGTGTGTGCGCCTTGCCGCCGCGATAAGCCAGCCCCCAGTTCCCCGCTATGGTATACACAATAATAGTCTACATCATCACTACTTTTTGCTTCTGATTATGAAGTCCGCTAATTGATGATAATCAGGCTGTAAGTAGGTGGTAGAATGTCGGACATTAATGTCAATTAGGAATATAAGGCCACAAATTAGGGTATATTATGCATTTGTCTGGCTACCTGGCCTACTCTATCTTCAAGAGACTCCATTTACAGATCGGGCGCTCGGAGCATCCTTCAGAAGACAAGTAATCTATACTGCATAGGGTACACCATTTCGATCAAATGCTACTATGTCCGGAAGATCTCGGATATCGGTAGTTTCGTTCGAATGGGCGTCCACGAGGCGCACGGCTTCTAAGTGAAGAGGTCCAACTGCAAGGGGAAGCAGTTTCAACTCGGTTGAATAACACGTTCCCGGTGGAAGGGGGCTATTTATGAGTTAGTCAGGCATCTTCTTATGAAGTAGGCCTTCAGAAAGAGACCTACCCAATGCGTATTTCCGTGCTGAGGCATATGAGCTCAGCTTCCTGGCCCGCCACGGTCTTTTGCATCGCATGGACTATGTTGTCGTCCGTCACTGCTTCTGCAACCCCATCCCCTTTACGACTCGAGATAGATGATGAAGAAGGCCGGGCTACATGTCCTCTCGGATCTGCTCGTTTCCTGCGAGGAATGGCAACCATGGCGAATTTACGCGCGCTCGTGGATCGGTTGACAATAAACACATCCCAGGAGAATGGCTTGCCAACTTCCACCCTGCTAGGGCCAGTGAACGAGATTGTGACTCCCATGTCTGTAATCGAAGAGGCTCTGTCTCTCAAGGAGCTCCGGCTGGGAGGAGGACCACCGGCTAGGACGTTCGCTTGATTTTGCCCCACAGAAAGACTTGCTGGGCGGTTACTGCGTTGCAAGGCTTGACTAGGACCACCGAACGTTGGATTCAAGATCATTGAAAAGTCAATGTTTGTCCTCCACTGCATAAGAATTCGTGGATGGCAGTCGTCTGATACTTGGATGATTGCCTCTAGGGATATATCCAAAACACTGACCAACACGGTGGTCGAGAGACTCGAATCCTGGCTGTACTCGGGTGTCAATTTATAGATTAGAGTCACATCGTCTCTTGGGCGACATATGATCGGTGGTTTGAGTCCGGGATCTTCAGATAGTGTTTCAATCTTCCCATCTGATAACCGAAGTTCGGCTTTATCAAATAACACATCACAATTAAGAAACGGAGTCACCTCAAAATCCAGACTTGCAATTGTCGTAGGTCGTCCAGAAAATGAGTTCAGTCGAGAGTACCGTATCCTGGCGCTGGCTGCAGGGACCACACGGATCGGATGACCTGATCGTTGTTGGACATTGTATATAGGATCCTCGCTGTATTGCGCAGGTACGACTCTTAGAAGCCTGGAAGCGGGTAGGAAAGGGTCAATTTTGTTCAGGGCTTTATCTGCTGACAAAGGTTGCAAGATATTTGTTGAAGCAGGAACCAGGGGAGGAAGATAGTCGTCGTCAGGGGACTCTTGTTGTTGACTATCACTCTGATTGAGACAGGCTGATGCTATGAAGATAAGCGAAGGGTGTTGGATCCGTATGCGAGGGCGCCCTGAATAGATCAATCAGTAAGACACACAACTGGAGTGTCAAACATCTGGGAACTTACTGAGAAACGTCTCAATACTCCAGATCGCATACACATGATTGCCGCTCCCTGCCTCCCCTTCAAACTCATTCACGACTACCAGTGGTTCCTCCTGTCCACTTACAACCCCTGAGAATATCAGGTCCCTCGTAGGTGTCGGATTCCCAGAAACTGCCTCGGCGGGGTCGATGGCAAAAACCTCAAGCTTGACTTCAAGGTTTGGAAGGTGATGTTTCAAGCTCGCCCGCGAGCAATCGGACAATCTGAGAACGACGCACGCGGTGCAAAATTCATCTGTGATACTGTACATGAGTAAGAGACAGGAGTTCGATCAGGAGGTTGTCTTTCCGCGTACCGAAGAACAGAAGTGACCGCTGAGGTATTAGAGACAGTACAGAAGATAGGTCGTCGGCTCCCCCTTCCAAGGCTTTTGCCAGAGCGGCCTCCAGATCTATATTTGAAGCATGTGGGACGACTGTATCTAGCACAGCATGTCTCAGGAATTCTCCAGGGATATCAAGACTCGGCATAACGAAAGCACATGCTCGCGCGTCACTTGCAACAATTGTCTCAAATAACTAGAAAGCCGAGCAACTCGAATAGATGTCGCTCGATTATTATTGTAGAGCTGAAGTGACCATTTTCCAATGTTATTTTATGCCCAATTCTGGCGATGAATATGATAAGAGAGAGTTTAGGGACCCGATGCAAACATAACAAACAGCCTTCACTAGACAAGGGAAACTAACGGGAGAGCTTCACCCGTCATCTACATTTTCCGCGCATCAGGATCTTCATCCATTGCAGAGCAGCTTTCCTTCCTTGGGAACATTTGCTCATCAAGCATCATGAATCCCTTGACTGGACCAGCAGCTGCCCCGCCTCTGTGGCAGGAGGCGCGCAATGCCGACGGCAGAGTGTATTATTACAATGTTCAGACCAAAGCTACACAGTGGCAGAAGCCCGTCGAATTGATGACTCCTGTCGAGGTTTGTTGCTATCCCGAGTCTCGCGGTGCTCATGTTTGTGCTAATACTTTCCTTACGTTTGCAGCGAGCTCTAGCCAATCAGCCATGGAAAGAATATACTGCTGAGGGTGGACGGAAATACTGGTACAACACGGAAACTAAGCAAAGCACTTGGGAGATGCCAGATGTTTACAAAAATGCTTTGGCGCAGGTTCAAGCACCTCAGCCGGCCCCTGTAGCGTAAGTGATCTCCTGTTGCTTAAATGTGCCGCCAGGGATTAACCAGTTTTTGCGCGCAGGGCCCCAACGTTTGTCGCAGGCGGAGTCAGCTCGTTTCCCTCCCATCCACAACAGCGTGACCGTGACGATTATGACCGAGGCTATGGCGACCGGCGCGGTGGTTACGGCTCCATGGATGTCAATGGAATTTCGGCCGCTCCGGCACTGGGAACTGCGCAAGCAGAGCCAGAGTATAATTCCCTCGAAGAAGCTGAGAGTGCTTTTATGAAAATGCTCAAGCGCCACAACGTTCAGGCTGACTGGTCATGGGAGCAGACGATGCGTGCGACTATCAAAGATCCTCAATACCGTGCTTTGAAGGACCCCAGAGACCGAAAGGCTGCTTTTGAGAAGTACGCAGCCGAGCTCCGCATGCAGGAGAAGGATCGAGCCAAGGAAAGATTTGCTAAGCTCAGAACCGACTTCAATACTATGCTGAAAAGCCATCCTGAGATCAAGCACTATAGCCGCTGGAAGACAATCCGCCCGATTATCGAAGGCGAGACCATCTTCAGGTCCACCAACGATGAGAACGAAAGGCAGCAGCTCTTCGAGGAGTATATACTCGAACTGAAGAAGGAGCATGTGGAACAGGAGGCTGCTCGGCGCAGGGCTGCACTCGATGAGCTGGTCAATATCTTGAATTCTTTGAACCTGGAACCTTACACGCGGTGGTCTGAAGCACAGGCTATAATCCAGTCGAATGACAAGATTCAAAGCGATGATAAGTTCAAAACCCTGAGCAAGTCTGATATTTTGACCGCTTTTGAAAACCACATCAAGTCCCTTGAGCGCGCATTCAATGATGCACGTCAACAGCAGAAGGCAGCAAAGGCGAGAAAAGAACGTCACGCTCGTGAGAACTTCATCGAGCTCTTGAAGGAACTGAAAGCGCAAGGCAAGATCAAAGCTGGCAGCAAGTGGATGAACCTCTACCCGTTGATCCATGAGGATCCACGCTACCTTGCAATGCTAGGTAACTCGGGTTCTACTCCCTTGGATCTTTTTTGGGACATGGTGGAAGAAGAGGAACGATCGCTGCGGGGGCCAAGGAATGACGTGTTGGATGTTCTCGATGTAAGGTCCCTACACCCTGTTTCCTTGAACGGATTCACTAACATGTTGCTCTTAGGATAAACGGTATGAGGTCACGTCGAAGACCACGTTTGAAGAGTTTCAGTCTATCATGCTTTCCGACCGCCGCACGGCGAACCTCGATTCTGACATACTCCAGCTACTCTTTGATCGCATCAAAGAGAAAGCTATCAGGAGAAGCGAAGAGGAGAAGCATGCCGCGGATCGTCATCAGCGACGCTCTATCGATGCCTTACGCTCGCGGATGAAACGTCTGGAACCTCCTATACGCCCAACCGACACTTGGGACCAAGTGCGTCCGAGGATCGAGAAACTGGAGGAATACAAGGCGATTGAATCAGATGAACTTCGTCAAGTGGCTTTTGACAAGTTCATCCGCCGGTTGAAGGAGAAAGAGGAGGACGTGGACAGGGAGCGGGAGCGCGATCGAGACAGAGATCGTGGAAGTCGGCGAGAACATTACGATCGCGATCACCGTAGAGGCGAGAGGAGAGGGCCTCCCAGTCGTCTCTCTCGCACACCTGAGCCCGACGCCTACGAAGCAGACCGTCGTAAAGCTCAGGCCGATCGCGAGCGGTCTTACAGGAAAGTCAGCGGCTTATCTCCGATCCGTGAGAAGCGCGACGATCGAGACCGTGACAGGGATCGTGAGAGAGAAAAGGACCGAGACCGTTACCGCGATCGGGACTGGGATCGGGAGCGCAGCTCCCGGTCTCTGAGCCACTATGATCGTGAACGAAGGGATCGGGAAGAAGAGCGCGAGAGACTCTATCGCACTCGCGGTGATCCCCGCGGAAGTCGGGATGAGCTGGATTACGGTGCGGACACACGCAGCACCGTCAGCAATGACCGGAGGCGCCGGAGAGACAGTGATACAGAAAGTGTCGCCAGCCGCTCTGCGAAGCGCTACCGGCGTGAAAGTCTCGAGCGAGACCGTAGTCGGGCTTCCAAGAGGGACAGGGAGCGTCAAGAACCAACTCCTGCCGCGGAGGAAGCCAAGAAAGAAGAAAAGGCTGTGCACTCTGGCAGCGAAGAGGGAGAAATCGAGGAGGACTAGTCGGTTGATGTACGTAGCTGTGTATTGATAATCCTACGATTCCTGGTTGGTTGGGAGATTGGCATTTCCATTTTCACAAGCCTGACTACACACGCGTATGTATCTGCTTCCATATGGGACGCACACAGGTCGTTCTTTTGAGTAGTTATGCTGTGGATCGTATTTATGCTCCTGCCTGATACTGAGCGATATAGCAGAGATATATATCAGTAGCGCAGGTGATGCGTGTCGTTCAGATGCATGTCTACTTTTAGTTGATCACTGGGAATGTACGAGGCGAGGACTTTGCAGTAGAATATATTACACTGGATCTTCAGTCAGACATGCTGCACACTCCACAGTTCATACTACCCAACACCATACATGCAAGTTGATCACACTAGTCATTGATAGAAAAGAGAAAAACAGTGGAGAACCAAGTAGCTTATATATGCTACCTGAGATCTATGACAGTGGCCACCTAAATTGACCATTTCCCAGCTCCCTTTTGTCTTCACTGAATCTGAACACATTGGTCATGGGACCATCTATACAATATCATAACATCATCGAAGAATTTTTGACAGACCCAACTCCGAATATGATCACGCCAGCCAAAACACACCAATACCTAATAAAGCCCATGTTGGCCCAAGTTGCCTGCATTCTGCTTGCAGCGAAGATAGACTGACTGGCCCAACAGGGGTGCGCGGATATGGGGCATCAGAAGGGACGAAGATGGATGACGACATGTGAACACAGCGAAGTGCGAACCGGGAACAGATGAACCCACTGTCCCTACTCAACATTGTCGTCATCGTCATCCTCCTCCTCATCCGAAGCACCAGCTGGATCGCCAACGAGGCACACGCCACGACTGCGGCGACGCGAGGCCCCAGGAACGCCGAATAACGCCACTAAACGAAGGGTTTTCCATTGACCACGACGTCGCCGCTGGTCAGCGTCGCGACCATCGTCCCTGTGATGGTTGCGATTATGTTTGCCTGGGATGCCCTTTTCAACTCTCTTCCTCCAAGAAGTACTAAAGGTGAAAACATATTAGCATGACGTAAAAATTTTTTGCACGGATCGGGATCGGGTGACTTACGAAGTTGCCAGCCAACTTCTGCTCCTGGTCCATCTGACTGTTGTACTTGTTGATACGAGGACGGTAACTGTTGGGATCGCGACGGAAGGTGACATCCAGGTTCCTCAAGAAAGTGTTGCAACCAGTGACCAGGGACTCGGGGGTATTGGCGTGCGCGTCAACAGAAGGCTTGCCGTCAAAGACAATGACACGGTCGGCGAGATAGGTGGCCATGATGAAATCGTGCTCGACAATGAAAGCGGTCTTCTTGGTGTGCATGATGAAACGCTTAATAACTCTGGCAGCCACGATACGCTGTTCAGAGTCGAGGTAAGCGCTAGGCTCGTCGATCACGTAGATATCGGCCGGCATTCCGAGAGCAAGGACAATAGCAACACGTTGCAATTCACCACCCGACAGGTTCTGAACTTCCTGGTCGATGAAGTCATCGATCTTGAGGGGCTTGTAGACATCGGTCTGGAACTGAGGCGAAAGGAAAGCAGCCTTGATACGCTTGAAGAAGAGCTGACGCACGGTACCCTGGAACTTGGGTGTAATCTTTTGAGGCTTCATGCTGATGTGCATGCGGGGCATGCTGACGTTGCCGTCAGGCTTCTCGGCACCAGCGAGCATTCTACAGAAGGTAGTCTTGCCGGTTCCGTTCTCACCCATCATGACAATGATTTCGGAGTCAGTGAATGAACCAGAGTCGATCTTCAGGTGGAAGTTGCCAAGAGTCTTCTCCATGCTCGGGTAGCTGAAAGCACGGGCCTTGTCAACCATGAAGTCATCACCAGCCTCAGCCAGACGGAAAGTCAGAGACTCCTCTCGGAACCGAAGATTTTCGGTAGGGATGTGACCGTCCAGGAAGATATTGATACCTTCACGGACAGAAGAAGGAAGTGTAACCACACCGTAGACAGCAGGTCTACCGTACAACACACAGACGAAGTCGGAAAGATAGTCAAGGACGGACAAATCGTGCTCGACAACAATGACGTAGTCATCGGGGCGCAGAAGCTCACGAATAGAGCGGGCTGCTGCCAAACGCTGTTTAACATCGAGGTAGGAAGACGGCTCGTCAAACATATACCTACAGTTCTGTTAGTGAGAGCGGGGATGACGGCATGTTGGTGTAGTCCTTACACGTCGGCCTTTTGCACACAAACAAGGCCAATAGCGAAACGTTGAAGCTCACCACCAGACAAGTGGTCAATGTCACGGTCCTGTACCTGTCTGAGTTCTACAAATAAAGTCAGTTTCGTTGATTTAAAGGTTCTGTTTATCGAAAGGCCATACCAAGAGCATCAAGGATGCGCTCCATGTTGTCCATCTGAGAGCGAGCCTTGATGAGGTCCCCGACGTTCTTGACCGGGCCCTTCACAGCCCGAGGAATCTGGTCGACATACTGGGGCTTGACCACGGCCTTCAGGTTGTCTTCCAGGACCTTGGTAAAGTAGTCTATGAAAGTTAGAAATCATAGAAAATTTATGCAGAACCTTTGTGACTCGGCAGTGTACGTACTCTGCAGTTCGGAACCACGGAAATATCTCAGAATCTCTTCCCAATCGGGAGGGTTGTCGTAGCGTCCGAGATTGGGCTTCAGCTTGCCGCTAAGGATCTTCAAAGCAGTACTCTTTCCGATACCGTTTGTTCCAACAAGACCAAGGACCTGACCAGGACGAGGCATAGGAAGACGGTGAAGCTTGAAGCTGTTGGCCGAATAACGGTGGGTGACCTCGGTTTCCAAGTTTGTGGGCAAGTTGATAATGTGGATGGCACCGAAAGGACATTTCTTAGGACAGATACCGCAACCGATACAAAGGCGTTCCGAGATGAAGGCGATCTTGGATTCCGGCGTCACTTCGATACAGAGCTTTCCGGTACGGACGACGGGGCAAGACTTTTTACACTCTTGGCGACATTTCTGTGACGATCAGCCATGCTGTAGATATGAGATGGAAGATCTCGATTTCAATCATACCTTCGGTTTGCACTGTAGGACAAAAAGTAACAGGGTAAGCAAATGCGACGCGACCACGACATAGCATCTCGCGGAGGAACGAAGTAACTCACTTTGTCACTATTGACAATAGCAATACTATATAGAGTAGAAGCAATTAGCACTCAGTTCCGAAGCATCCCAAAGATTTCGGAAAACAGACTCACCGAGTAAGCTTGTCAGACATGATACCGATGAATCAGCTTAAAAAGCACACGCAGGCAGATAATCAACAGAGGCAAATCTCCAGGGCCAAGCAAGATATAGCAGCAAGTATAGCTCTGACGTGACCTCTAGCAGATGCGTAGATGAAGTCGCGACAGCTGTCCTGGCTGAATTTATAGAAAAGAGCTAGAAATCCGGGCAAGAAAAGCTGACAACGAGCCACCAGATATGAATGCAAGTGGAGAGGAGCGAGGTTTCTTTATGGAGGCGTCGAAAATGAGGGGCTCTCAATGGGGGGAGAGAAAACTATGTCAGGCATTGTGGGCACATTGTTGATGCCTCAGGCCAAAAGTCAGTTTCTTTTAGGTTGAGTACCTCAGGCTCTACATATTATTATTTTCCCTAGCTGGTGATTGGCCCTCGGTCCATCCCTCGAAAAATTTCTCTTCAAAGCCGGTCCAGGCTGGAAAATTACTGCGCCGTCCTCCGAAGCTGTGAATTTCTATCCGCTAGTGAGACTCGGCCACGTGATGACAGAGGTGCCGCCATGCCTGTTGGGGACTCGCTTGTGGGCTCACTAAACTGTATATGGTATGGACAGGTCTTGCAGCCTTGAGTCTCAGGCCGCAAAGCCATCTCTTCACTGCGACTCGTCCACCTCCCAGACCGCAGCCCGGCGGCCAACCTTACCTCTCTTTCTTACTCCCTCATCATATTATTCTCCCATCCGTATCTGGTGTTGTTCGCTCTCCCTCCACCACCCACTTTATCATTCTTTCTCCAACACCAACCTATCAATCCCTATTGATTCAACATTGTCTCAATACTTCTCCCTTTTTCGGGGTCACCTCGCTATGAATTGTGAGTATTTCCTTCTCTTTTCCTAGCTTTACAGCCCGTGTCCTGGTTCTGTTGGCTGGGGTACTTCTCCACGTTATCGACCCACCGATCTCAAGAATATCGTTGCATCTTTCTGTCCTCATGTCTTTCTGAATTCTCTGAGTCGTCTGGGCTGTCTGTCGGCTCTGATCCTCGTTCTGGGATTGACGCTCGCCCTCCTCTTTCACCGTCATTTCCTCCATCCTTCCTGTCGCGTTCCATCCAATCCGCCATCCAAACCATGTCCTGGCATCATGCCTTGTCTCCTGTCGGCTGTCACAGGCTTTCTAGCTTCTATTTGCTGGAAATGGAGTCGCGTAGTGCTGCTCTACACATACCTGTGCCTTTCGTGCCGCTCCGACCCCGAACCAAGCTTCAATGCTGACTTTTCCCTTCATCAACAGCCGCTAGCATGGTGATCCCATCACCCCCCGATAATATTGCCAACATGGCATTGTCCAACGGCCTTTCTCCCTCCCTCACCTCGAATTCTCCAGCCGTGAATGGCGAACTGGCTGATAACAATGCCGGTTACAACCTTTCCGAACAATCAAACAATTTCACATCGTCAGAGTCATCGCCCGATGCGGAGATGGAGGACGAGTCGTATCATAGCGGCTCTCCTGACGCTGAGGCGGTTGGCAGTTACTCTGCTACGGATAGTAGCGAGAAAGGTAGCAGCCCATCCAGCATCGGAAACTCCTCGTCATCAGAGATCAAGCGTGGCATCAAACGTAAATCGTCGTCTCTGAGTGAATCAGACTTCATCAGACAGAATCCAGATTTGTATGGTCTTCGCCGTAGCGGACGAGCTCGGACAACACGCCAGGTTGTTCAATCCACCTCCTCAGAGTCAGAGTCGGTCGTTAGGGTCTCACGCACCAAGCGTCGACGCCCGGTAGCCTCACAGCGGTCCTCGAAGCGTCCATCCCCTCCAGCCAGTCAGTCTTCCTACTCCGCGGAGTCAGACGATGACGAGTATGGCGGACCTTCTCGTACGAGTAAGGCGAAACGTCGTCGTATGCTGCAGCCAGCGTCGAACAAAGAACCTTCACATGCTGAGATCCGGTTCTCGACGCGGACTGCGTCTCGTCGTGTCTCCAATTACAATGAAGACGATGATGATGACATGTTTTTGGATGAACCTGATGAAGTTATGGACAACTATCAGGCAAACACTGTTGAGGACGACCGTCCAGCTGTAGATGTCGTGCTAAATCATCGCCCCAAAGAGGGGGTCAGCCCAGGTGACAACGATGTTGATGAGCACTCCTTTGAATTTTACATCAAATGGCAGGAGAAATCACATTACCATGCCACATGGGAGACTTACAAATCCCTCATCGATAACTGCCGCGGCACACGCAGAGTTGATAACTACATTCGCAAGGTGCTATCTGAAGAGCTACGTATGAACCATGACGGCGATGCCCTTCCCGAGGAGCGTGAAAAGTGGAACCTCGACCGTGAAAGAGATGTCGAGGCCATTGAAGACTACAAACAGGTTGAGAGGGTGATCGCCATGCGGGATGGTGATGAGGGAACAGAGTACCTCGTCAAATGGAAGCGGCTATTTTACGACTCTTGTACCTGGGAGAGCGAAAGTCTTGTCAGCGAGATTGCTCAACGCGAGGTTGATCGCTTCTTGGACCGTTCCTCTCATCCACCCTCGTCGGACAAGACCGAGATGAACCCTGCCACTCGCAAGCCCTTCGAACCAATCAAAGGCACACCGAGCTTTTTACAGAACGGCGAACTAAAAGATTTCCAAGTCAAGGGAGTCAACTTCATGGCCTTTAACTGGGTCAAGAACCGTAACGTCGTTCTCGCTGACGAGATGGGATTGGGTAAAACCGTTCAGACGGTCGCTTTCATCGCGTGGCTGCGTCATGTCAGACGCCAGCAGGGACCTTTCATCGTCGTCGTCCCTCTCTCGACTATGCCATCCTGGGCTGAAACCTTTGACAATTGGTCCCCTGATCTGAACTATGTGGTCTACAATGGCAACGAGGCCGCACGCACCATGCTCAAAGATTATGAACTCATGATCGACGGGAATCCCAGGCGTGCAAAATTCAACGTGCTCCTTACTACCTACGAGTATGTGCTCCAGGACTCGACTTTCCTGAGCCAGTTCAAGTGGCAGTTCATGGCTGTCGACGAAGCTCATCGCTTGAAGAATCGTGATTCGCAGTTGTATCAGAAGCTGCTGGAATTCAGATCCCCCGCTCGTCTTCTCATCACTGGTACTCCTATTCAGAACAATCTCGCTGAGCTGTCCGCACTCATGGACTTCTTGAATCCTGGCGTGATAGATGTGGACGTGGATATGGACCTCAATGCTGAAGCGGCTTCTCAGAAATTAGCTGCATTGACGAACGCCATCCAACCTTACATGCTTCGCCGCACAAAGTCGAAGGTCGAGTCTGACCTTCCTCCTAAAACGGAGAAGATCATTCGCGTTGAGCTTTCAGACGTGCAGCTGGAGTATTACAAAAACATTCTTACGAAGAACTACGCCGCTTTGAATGATGGCGCACAGGGTCAAAAACAGTCACTTCTGAACATCATGATGGAATTGAAGAAGGCTAGCAATCACCCATTCATGTTCCCCAATGCTGAAGCGAAGATACTGGAAGGAAGCACGCGTCGTGAGGACGTATTGAGGGCACTCATCACAAGCAGCGGGAAGATGATGCTTCTCGACCAGCTGTTGGCCAAGCTGAAACGAGATGGTCACCGCGTTTTGATTTTCAGCCAGATGGTGAAAATGCTTGACCTGCTCGGCGATTATATGGAGTCCCGTGGCTACTCGTATCAACGTTTGGACGGAACTATTCCTGCTGCTTCGCGCCGCCTGGCTATTGAGCATTTCAATGCGCCCGGCAGTAGCGATTTTTGCTTCCTTCTGTCTACTCGCGCAGGTGGTCTGGGTATCAACCTGATGACTGCTGATACTGTCATTCTGTTCGACTCAGACTGGAACCCGCAGGCTGATCTTCAGGCAATGGCCCGAGCACATCGAATTGGTCAAACCAGACCAGTCAGCGTATACCGCCTTGTTTCGAAAGATACCGTTGAAGAAGAAGTTATCGAGCGAGCTCGCAACAAGTTGCTGCTCGAGTTCATCACTATTCAAAGGGGCGTCACTGATAAGGAAGCCTCGGAGATCCAGAACAAGATGGCCCGGAGTGGCATTAACGTTAGCGAACCGAATTCCACTGAGGACATTTCCCGTATTCTCAAACGCCGCGGTCAGAAGATGTTCGAGCAGACTGGAAATCAGCAGAAATTGGAACAGCTCGACATCGATTCGGTGCTGGCCAACGCAGAATTACACCAGACAGAACAGGCCGAAGGTATTCAAGCGGACGGTGGAGAGGAGTTCCTAAAAGCATTTGACTTCGTTGACATCAAAGTCGACGATCTTACTTGGGACGATATCATTCCCAAGGACCAATTGGACGAAATTAAAGCTGAGGAAAAGCGCAAGGCGGACGAACGGTACCTCGCCGAACAGATCGAGATGAGTCGACCTCGAAAACGCAATGTTCCCGCTGATGGGCAGGACACTCGTGAAGAAAGAAAGGCTAAGCGACGAGCCAGAGCTCAGGTTACAGTCGACGAGGGGAACAGCTCTGACGAAAGTCGTCCCCACCTGGACCCCAAACGTCCCCTTAATCATAAAGAGATCCGCCATCTTTATCGGGCCCTCGTACGTTATGGAGACATCAATGAGCGCACAGAAGAATTCTTGCGGGAAGCCCGTCTTATGGATAGAGACAGGGAAACCATTGTTGCCGTTCTGCGGGAAATGTCTGATATGGCTGCCAAGCTCATCCGAGAAGACGATGCTAAGATGGAGGCACTGGAAAAGGCAGGCAAGATGGTAACGAAGAAGGAGAGGAAGGCCGTCTTGTTCGATTTCAAAGGCGCTAACCGTTTGAATGCTCACCACATCGTGGATCGTCCGAGAGACTTGCGCATTCTGAGGCAGGTCACCTCATCCGTTGCTGACGTCAAGAGCTTTCGCATTCCGGAAGCAACAAAGGCCGCGGATTATTCATGCTCGTGGGGGGCGCGGGAAGACGGCATGTTGTGCGTCGGTGTCGCCCGCCATGGATGGGGTGCCTGGACCCAGATCCGGGATGACCCGGAACTTGGACTTGGTGATAAGCTCTTCTTGGAGGAACATCGTGTCGAGAAGAAGAATGAGCGCGCGAACGCCGATGATAAGACAACCAAAACTCCTGGAGCGGTTCATCTTGTTCGCCGGGTCGAGTATTTGCTGTCAGTGCTGAGGGACAAGTTGACCAACGGCACCAATGTCTCTGCCAGGAGAGCGGTCGAGAACCATCATCGCAACCATCGGAGCACCGCTCGGACCAACGTGAGTGCCAGCGTCTCGGCCTCGCCTGCGCCGTCTATCGCACGCAAGGGTCACCGTGAAGCCGACCGTTCAAGGCACCGTTCTCAGACTCATGGAGCCCGTGACAGTGTGGAGCGGAACCACACTCCAGGTCGGGATTCTCGCCCAAAGTCCGGCCAGGAGAATGACCGTCGTCGCAAATTGTCTGACGCCTCGAGCGAGGATATCCGTCGTCGTAAACCGAGTGAGCGTAAATCTAGCGATAACGGCAATTCCGACGAGATGCTTCGCCTCTTGTTCAAACCTATTCTTTCGTCTCTGGAGCGAGTCTCTGGTTTGACTAGGGACAGCATGACAAGCAAAGCGCGCCGCGCCTCTGAGTTGCGCAACCTACTTGGCTACATTGGCGGATTCATTCGGAAGACTCTAAAAGGAGAGAATTACATGCCGTCCCTTGAGATTCGCTTGTGGTGAGTTCAGTTCAGAACCGGCCGGTACGACATCTCGCTAACAATTTTGATAGGGAGTACGTTGCTATCAACTATTGGCCGAACAAAGAAGCCGGAGGCCGTCAACTTCAGACGATGTATCAGAAAATCGTTGCTGCGAACAATGCAACCACCAACAAGGACGGGTCTGCGTCAACACCATACTCTGCTAGAGATTAGGCTCAGATTTCATCTGCGCGTCTGACAAGGTAATCATCGATGCGATGATTACCTTGTCTACGAGATTATTTCTCAATCTTCTGCTCTTTTACTCCTTTCATTAAGCCTCTTCTTGAGCTACATCTATGCATACGTGAAACGGCATCACATTGGCGTTTGGTCAGTTGACAAGGTGGTTTCGAGCGGGCTTCTCATGATATGTTTGGTTTATTTATGTAAAACTCTCTGCTTATTTGCATGTTTTCATGGTTTCCATATGGACCTGGTCCCCCCCGACTTAGGGGCGTTGGGCCTCGTCATCTCTGCATCTTGTCGGTTTTACCATTTACAGGGACCCCCCTTATGGAGTGTTGGGCCCTGTTTTGCGTTTCATGTTTCTCCAAGCCCATACGGGCCCCCCAACTGGCGTGGGCCCTATGGTGATGTCCTTTCGCATTTGTTATCTTCACTTCGTGTATCTTCTATCAAGGGATCACTCCCTGGAGTTTGATTTCGTTTTGGGATCATTCGTCGTTTCTGGGAGATGCATTCGCTGCATTGTAGACCTTTTTTTCATGTCATCTTTGATGCTTACGGTGTGGCGGCTTTTAGCGATCATCTGGGCTTGACATTGTGTCGGATATCTTATTCATCTGAGCTTTTTTTGCAGGGACATGGAGAGGGAAAAGAACATGATTCTCATCACTCATCACTCATCACTTCTGTGCTTGATCGTGGATGCTCTTGAAGATCTTTTGTAGTCTGCGTAAGCTGAGTTCGAGTATCGAAGTTGGTCTGGCATCTGAAAGACTACAGAGAAGTAGCACGACTTGATACTAGGCAGGTAGTGGAACGGTAAATTGATTTCCATATTTCCGACCTATCAAAATAATGATACAAGACATTATTGTTCAATCTGCAGATACGTCCATGCATGAAAGTCCGATGTGCCACATTGAATCGCAAGTACGGTAGAAAAATCCACAATGACGCCGAAAGCCTAACCCATGAAAGACCAGTAGAGAGGAAGTGGATAGGTAATACGGAGAAGAAGACAAAGTCATGCAGGACGAGATCATGGAGGAATGGACATTGAGTCGCGGCTCAGACTCGCCTCTACTTCAGCCACCGCTAGCTGTCCTTGCTGCACTTTCTGGACACCGTTTGGGACATTACCTGATTCGGCTGGGAGACCCTCCGTGGCCACAATGGCACTGAACAAGCGGAGTTCGGCGTCGATGACATCGTCGAAGATGGTCTCCTTCTCCAGCCACGCCTGCTTCCTCTTCGGCCTGATCTTCTCCCATTCCTCCTTCAGCTCCTGGCCTTCCTTCTCGGCCCAGTGGATCTGCCGACGAAGCAGCCGGTAGAGATCATAAGGCCGGAGCTGGAGTTCGTGCTCGTCGAACCCGATCTCAGGACCGAACTCGGGTAGTTCGAGCTCGTCGAGGTCCTCGGCGACGACTGCGTCATCGTTGGCGATCTCGCTGAGCCGGTCTGCCTCGTCCTTCGGTTGCGATAGCTTCAGTCTGATGCGCTGGAGTTTACTGACGGGGGTTCCGGCCGGGGTTCCCACCGCAGAGGCTGGGACGTTGTGGCCTTTCGGTACGGGGTCAGAGGGTCGGAGGGCTTCTGTCTCGTGGACGGTTCGCATGTGTTTGGCGAGGGCGTCTGAACGGGTGAAACTGCGGTCGCATTCTGAAGGGATTTGTTAGCGCCGAGCTCAATGGAGATTTTGGCAAGCAGGAGCGAGGGAGGACGAGAGGCGCTCACCTGGTAGCGCACAGTAGAATGGTTTCTCCCGCGTATGGCTCCTCATATGTGCGCGCAGTGCGTAGCCGCTCGCATGCGTTTGGCCCTTTCGAGGACAGTCGGACCACTCGCAGGAGTATCTCTTCTGTCGGTTACCGACATGATCGTTGTGGATGTGCTGGACCAGATCGTCCATGTTGCCCAGATCGCCCACATTGCATCCCTCCCACCGACAAACGGTAACCTGGTCGTTGCCCTGGCCGCTGTAGTCGTCATCTTGGCTGCCGCCTATCAGGGCCAGGAGGGTGGGAGAGTTAGGAATGTCGCCGGAGGTATCTGACGAGATCGAGGTCGAGGGGGAGGTCGGTGGGAGATCTTCTTGAAATGTAGTCGAGAGAGGAGTATTGCGATCCCATGACGCGACACCGGTGCGACGACGCTTGGAAGGGGGCAGGGTTGAAGCCGACGGCGAGAAGGGATGCTTGAGGTCTTCGCGATCCGACATTTCGTCGGACGCAATTGAGGAGAGGGGGGAACCGGGAGATTCGGTCATTGGGATAGGCGTTGAAGCCGGCGCCGGTGATGAAGAAGTTGAGGATTGATGTTGAACTGGATAAAAAGCTGCTGCCGATAGCGCTTCAATGGCGACATTTGCGGAGTGTTGCTGATGTTTGATTCGAGTATACATGCAGCGAGCAACACGTGATGAGGCTATTCCGGTCGAAGAAAAACCCGCACAATTACCGAATCTCCTCTCTTCCTCCTATTCAGCTTCAACAACAATCAATTGCTCGACAGCGTATCATCAATAGACTATTGCCATCATCGAATGAAAACATCAGCTCAGCTTGGAATCTAGTGTAAGTACTATTGTCCAGCCAGCTCTTTGTTGCATGATGATTTAATCAAGAATTCTGCAATGCGGACAATCTCCAGTCCTCTGTGAGATTGCATGTTGACTATTCTACACTTGATCTGACTTGTTCCTTGACCTTAATTGTATTCTATTATACATTTTACGGCAATGTGCTGACAAGATCAGATTTATAGGATTATATATCTGTCTGTTCTCAGTATCTATATGTACATATTCAATACAAATCTCTCCGCAACATTGAACAATTGCCTAGTACCGAGCACCACGCACTTCATTCTCTTGGAGGATTCTGTCAAGCTCAGCCATTTCGGCGTCAGATAGACGGGGAACACCGTGCGAATTCTGCCTAACCTTGTCGCTCGTTGTACCCCCAGGGATCGGAATGATGGTAGGCATACCTGGCTTGCCGCTCAGGGTCAGTATCCAGGCCAAAGCGATCTGGGCGGGTGCGGCGCCCTTGCGAGAGGCCAGGCCCTTGACCTCGTTGACAAGCTTGATGTTGTGCTTCATTGCGTCCTCCTGGTACTTGGGCAGCAACCTTCGGAAGTCGCCCTCGGGGATCTCAGATAGGCTAGTGAAAGCACCGGCCAGCACTCCGCGACCCAGAGGCGAGTATGCGACGAGTGGAATCCCCAGTTCCGCACAGGTCTCGGCCACGCCGTCGTTCAGGGTGTGGGTGTCCCAGAGAGAGAGCTCAACCTCTACCGCGGCAATTGGGTGGACTTTGTGTCTGTTCTCGGTCGTCAGTAACAGCGTAGACCAAGCACTAGCAACTCGAAAGTAGAACGTACGCTCGCCGGATTGTCTCCGCATTCACCTCACTCAGCCCAATCCCCTTGATCTTGCCCTCCTTGACCAGCTGAGCCAGGATAGTCACCGTCTGCTCGACCGTTGTGTTAGGATCCTGTCGGGCACACTCGAAGATATCAATCGTCTTCTTCCCGTCCAACACACGTAGACACTCATCCACGCTGCGGCGAATATTCTCCTCCGAACCATCCGGAACAAGCTCGCCGGGCTTCAGACCGCCCTTGATACTCAGCACCACCTTGTCCGCGTTCTCGGGGTACTTCGTGAAGTACTTGTTCAGCAGATGCAGCGAGTTATACTCCGGGGTGCCGTAGAGCTCGCCGCCGTTCCAGAAGTTCGCGCCCAGGGCGAGCGCCGTGTTTAGTGTTTCGAAGCATTTCTCTTCAGAGGGAAGTTGAGGGGACCATGTCATTCCTGTCCTGGTCAGTAGAGGACTCAATTGAGTGTAGAGGCGCGAATTGAAGAATCACGTACTCATCATGCCGTACCCCGTAGGGCCGACTTCTGTCCCAAGGAGAGACGGCATCTTTTTCCTTTTCCTTTCTTTTACCGGTGTATGTGCACTTAGATGTATTTCAGCGATTTATCTCAGGCAAAAGATTAGAGAAGGAGATGTATTTATGCTTCGGTTGTCCTCGGTCAACTTGAAGAATATTAATATTGATTTGTTGCATCATTCATGGTCCACCCCACACCGGATGCCGACAGCGGCGGACTTAGCTGTCTTATCACCGCCAAGCTTACACACTGTGGCTCTGTCCATCTTCTATCTTTTTCTATGAGTTAGCCCGGGCAAAGGGGCGGTTATCGAGAAGGCGAAAGCTGTGATTACCCTGGTTTCTCGCTGTCCGACTTCAGTCGGACTTAAAAAGTCACGGATCATGGCGCGAATGCCGATGTCTACGGAGTACAGACTGTACAGGTATGAAAGACGAAGTATGAGAGGGCAACCATGCTAGATTGTGGTTCAAATTTACTTTTTATTATCTATCGCTGACTCGTACATAACCTGCCATCATAACTCATTAACATCTACCACGCTGAAGCGTTTATCGCCCTGAAACAGGGCACCATCAAGGGAAGAGCCAAAAGAAACCGCAAAACATTGACCATCCATTCTCGATAGACCAAAAACATCATATTCAGAAACTCCAAGCCAGAACGTCTCAAATCAGCGTAAGCTCATCCTGAGTGAGGAATGCCTCGTGGAACTTGTCGATCATTGTGGAGAGGATATCATCCACGATATCGACGGTGTCCGGTGTGTCCTCGGTCTGCTCGTCATCCGAGCCATTCTTGGGTTCGTCGACGATGGAGGCGTTGTTCTCTTCTGTAACGGTGTTGCTGGGGCTGTTGCTGTCGTCGATGACGTCGGAGTCCTCCAGCTTCTTCTTCCAGTCGTCTAGCTTGTTCAGGGCGCTGAGACCGAGTGAGTCGAAGATATCCTTCATGAGCCTTTCGCGGTATTCTCCGTTTGAAGGGACTACTCTCTGCAAATCTGTTAGTCGACGGGTAGTAAGTATAGGGGGGTTGAAAGGGACGTACGGGACTAGGACTAGCAGATCTCGAGTGGATATCAGATCTTGACAAGCCATTTCCTGATTTAGAGACGGGACGAGACGACCCCAGAGAGGATAGGGCTAGGATGGTCAGGAGGAGGAAGTTCAGGAGCATCGATGACCGCGTCGACTGCGACATGTTGAGCGACTGAGTGGATAGAGATTCTAAGGTCTTGTGGCTTTTTCCGGTGATGTAAAAACACGATGTCTTGACGATCCAGTTGATCTCGTCAAGGATGATGTGAGAATGGATGATGATGATGATTCTGGCAACGATTGCAACGATCGTGGAGCACTTCATATACCCCATGCATTCCCGGATCCTCCCTTGCGCGGTCGATCTGCCGCCGTCAGGAATGCGGGAGTGGCTGGGAAGCAACGGCCACAAAGGCCAGGATTCCTCAGACTACCTGCCACGCTTCGAGATCGGTCGATATCTGCTAGTGCGGCTGGTGATAAGATGGAATATATGGTAACCTCATTGTTGTGGCGCGTAACTGGAATGATGCGCCTGGGGAAAGAATTGTAGACATAGTCTATATCTTCGTTTCTGCTGTTTAGTTGATGGCTGTAATATTTCGCAGAAGGTACTAACCTTGGCCTGGTACTTGGGAGATGGATGAAGGGGCGCAGAGGTGGCCGGCTACCTCTGACATTCCAGTCTGCAACACCCATACCACTATTGCAAGACTATTCTTGCCACTGAACATCATGGAACCGTCCTCTATTATAATACAATTCCACGTTTTGAAGAGTTTATAGTAGTTAGTGTTTCATTCCCAAGTGATAGAACATTGCATTGCATGGCGTTACCCTATGTGTGGCATAACTATCATGAATAAGATGGCATTCACAGCTGTGGTCGAAACGTGTTGTCCCACTCTATAGAATAATGGGCCCCGTCAAACTGATTGGTATTGAGCGTCAGTTCGATAGTAGACATGTCAAACTTCATGTAACTATACTAAAGTCTGAACAATGAGCGCGGTGGATGCCGGACGATCTCCCGCAGTCACCCGAACAGATTCAATGCCATGGACTCCTGTCAGAGTTGCAGTCATTATCGACTCATGTTAGATAGTCCTGGTACTTCTTCATCTTTCCCTTACCGCCTCAATCTGGCCGCAGAACCGCCTGAAGCCCACCCTCAAACTCCCCATAATGTCCATAACAAAGACAGCTACAACCAAGGCCTCGAACACGCCGGGTCGTCATGAGCAAAGAGCACGTTGTCCATTCCCTCAATAGCGCAGCGACTCTTTCGCCCAATGCAGGAGACAATTACCGAGTGAGCCCGGAAAAAGCATCTGGAACCGCTCCGGATTAGATCGCAGCAGCGCAGCCTCCTCGCCATCGGGATGTTGACGGCATTGAACCACTCGCATGAGCTGGGTTGTTCATATCCACGCCCCAGTCAACAATGCACTGACGTAGATCAAAATCAGGGAGTCGATCACGCATGCGAATGTCTATTGTGGTGCGCCGGCGGGAATGGAGGCGACGAGGACGCGGAACGGGTGTTGATTGAGATGGCTGAGGGAAGTGAGCATTAGCGAGAGTTGAAGTAATCGATCCATGATTCGTAATAAGTCTTCGGACTGTACAGAAGGTCATGAAGGGTCTGTCTGGTGCCACTAACCCAAGTCTTCTCCATTATCCCATCGCGATTCGCCGTCTGATGGTTGTCCATGGTCCTCTGGTGTATAGACATTTGGACAGTGGTATACTTGGAGACTAGGTCGTGCGACAAGCCATTTTCTGGTTTTGGTGGGCGGATTCCATTGACGAAACCGAGTACAGGGTGGTTTATTAACTCGAGCTGGCTGATTGTAGCGTCAGTAGAGATATCTGGAAGGCAGTGTGTAGGACTAGCTACTTGAGCGGCATCATACCTCTTGCACATGGCTGCTGTGCCTTGTTTGATTGAGTCAGTAAATCATTGCTGTTTGTAGCTCAATGCAAGTCCAGATTGCAGCCAGTTTGAACGCCCTTCACCGTTCCTTAATCCACGAATCTCATTCCCCGAGCACCCAAGACCTACAGACTACCAATAGGCAACACACAGCAGCTGGAAGTTTGCTCGTCATCCTGATGAGGTTGCATCGAAAAGCCTGATCTAAAGCATGTCTTCGCTGCACAAGCACTTTGTATATCCAAGTCACAATAAACAACCTGTACTTCTTTCGAGAGGGACTGCCTCGCCTCTCAATGTCACCTTAGAAGGGTATGCCAACTTCCAGATGCACCGAGGAGATAGCCTGTACTCTGTATGCCCCTGCTCAGCCTCCTTGTCAACGAACCCGAGCCAATGACGGAGCATAGGATAACACATGGTGACATAGAATCGCAAACGCAGCTGTATGTCCAACATGTGGATGACAGTGACAAGAGGACAGCTGCACTGCACCTACTAGGCAGAAACATTTTTGACGCGATCTGATCCATCTCCATAAGTGACGTTTGTCAGTGTCGCTAGGTGTCGACGTGATACGGCTGCATCGCATGGGTCAAATCCATGGGTAGTGCCATATCTCCATAATTTCAGTTTCCTTAGCGCATAAACTATGGACATACGGAGTAGATACTCAGCTCATAATTCAGCGAAACCCTGGCCTGACAATTCCTCGTACTCTATCTAACCCACTTCGGCCCTCATCCGGACAACCCTTAGTCGAAGGCGCGAAGGCCCCACAAGCTAACCACTGGCATTCGTATGCATCTACGTAAGTTGGCGGTTCATTAAAGTTATCGAATCATCAAGCGAGGACGCCATAAGGCTAGTGATGCAGTAGTAGGGCGCCTCGGGGGGTTTTCTACCACGTACCTAGGTACTCCGTAGTGACTGAGGCCCTGTGGCTTACGTACTGCCGCATGGCCAGCCACAGGTAGAGCGCTAAGTGAATCAGCATACGTAGGCCCTGGTATCAGGGCCTAAGTCTACCCAGTAAACATCTGGTATCAGCCATGAAGCTATCTAACTATCTTGGTGCTAGACGCCGCCTTTCTGGTTCTAGGAGCGTCTACGGCTCTACGCGTGGCCGTGCCAGGTCGAGAACCCCCCACCGAGTGACGTTTCTGCTTACGCAGCTTATTGCAACTAAGCTTTGGCTTGTCTTTGACTTTGTTGTGAGGTCTGCCTTTTGTCTCGTGTTCTGTGATCTTTTGTTTTATTTCTTTTCTTTTCTTCCTTTTTAGGTCTGTCTAGGTCATTGTTTCGGTTCGGACGGGAGTCTCCTATCTGATGTGGGCTGTTGCACTGGTGGTTTTGTTTGCTTGTTCGACGCTAACTGGATACTCCATTGTCAAGTCTCTAATAGGCTGTTCAGCAATATAGATGTCGAAATACAAAATATGAAATGCGAATAGGACGAACGAGGGAGTCAATTTCCCTGCTCCACAACCTGCGTGAGGGGAAATGTGTCCCACAATCCAATATGACTGACTCGTGCCAGTTACTGTATCGAGGACATTGTTCCACGTTTAAAAATACATTACAAGGTACGCATTACATTAGCGGAAATATTTCTGTTTAAATTACATTACCTGGAATACAGTCAAGTTAGGTAGTTAGAACCCGCTGCAACCAGGGTTTGGGCCCAAACTTTGTGAGACAAGACCCTGAAGATCTTGACTCAATGATTAGCCAAGGCATTTGAATAGCAACAGCCTTTTTATAGAACTGACCATCAATGTGAACACACTGTACTCCGTATAATCTTATATTATCTTATTCAATTACTAGACTCTATCCAGAAAGTCCTCAGAAAACAATCCTAGAATATCCTAGACCATTCCTGATCGTCGAGATCCTGCCCGGTCCGTCTTCACGGAATCACGGATATTCTCCGGACTCACTTAATCCAAGCGATCTCAGGGTCTGGGCCTCTTTTTCCCCGTCGTGGCGGTTACAATTGGAGCTTCGGCAGAAGCATGATTGCGTTTGTCTGATGCTGTGATCGCCGGGATTCACATCTTAGCAGGGCTCCCGCTCTACTGCCGGGTTGCCTTGTAAATGTCTCATAATTTCTTGGCATTATTCCGGTTACACTGCAGATGCTCGTTCTATCGAGTCCAAACGAGGCCAACGGAGTCGTAGAAGATCGCATGAACAAGGTAGTGCAGCAGCTGTAGGTAGCCTGGCAGGTTGTTCTATGTGGTAGTGACAATCTGAGCCTGCCAAGGGTAAGACAAGGACCCTTGTTTAGATGTTTAGAATTCAAATAGGCGTCACCGGAGATAAACACCAGTCGAACCCTAAATCCACACGGCTAATCCCCGGCTTATTGCAAGTATCAGTGTCAGTGTCAGTGTCGGTGTCGCCAGCTGAAGAAGAGGCGCAAATGCCTACGTATGCAACGCGCCACCGAATTCTAAAGATATTGACCATGAGACCATCAAGGATTGGGCGTCTTCAAGGGTCCAGAAAAAAAAAAAAATTTTTTGTAATTGGTCTTTCACAGAGTTTCTGACCACTTGTAAGCCTCTGATCTGGTGCATGTTGGCAGTCACCTTCTTGGCCCTTGGGCTAATCTTAGGGTTGTGAACTGAGACAAGGGTAGCCTGAGTATGTAAGCCGAAGTCGGCGACTTAGATGCTGATTCTGACTGGTATGGGTTAGAGCCCAGCGTACACTTGCGGTTGGATTGCAGGCCCTGGCTGCACAATGTATGACGGATTGGTAGGGTTTCATCTTCCAGACAAGGCTGACAAAGAATCGCGATCTGGACTCGATTGAGGTTGGGCTGCATGGGATTATTGGGAACGGTGGGGACTATTTGGGTGTAGCCAGGACGGGTTGTTCTGCGTTGCATCAGCTGAGTATGGTACGCTAGGTGTGTTCTACTAGTAAATCGGTCATAGGAAATATCTTACGGAGTACCGTACGATGATCCGCTGGTGGAGTACCTGTGTACCTGGCCGAATACGAATACGACGGGTACGAGGTAAGTCTCGGCGTCGGCACTTGTGGTATCCGTGTTACCGGCAAAGGTCAACAATACAGTAAACCCCGATATAAGCAACTATTAGAGACAGCCACTTTTGCTTCCTCATATTGAAATTTCCTTACACTGGATTCTTGAGCAACCAATGCTGGAAATATATGTTTCTCTACCTAAATACTACTAGTTATTACTCAAATACTATTCCTTGAGTTTCCTCCCTAAATTACCCTTTCATATATGTAAGATACTATATTAAATACTATATAAAAGCCTTCGAGAGGTACTCCGTAGAGATGGCCATAATTTACCACTTATGTAACCCTGTATTAGGCTGTAACAATACTCTTAAAAGTGGTCTAGTATAGCC